CAGACCTTGAAATGCCTTTCCACTGCAAGAGCCCAGCTGGGAGGAATATCTTTCTGGGACTTCTAGCCTCAGTTCCTACCCTCTGCTGCTGCTCTTCCTCACTCACTGGATCCTCCACAGCACTGCTACAATGCAAATATATGCAACCCAAGGCTCATTTTGGAATAAATCAATCTAAATTAAAATTAATGAACAAAAAGTACAGAAACAGACGAAGCAATAAAGCCATTTCTCTTTCTTTCCCCCTGTGTTTTTCTCTTTTTTCTTTCAGAAAGCTCATTTCTTTTCTCTACTCTTTTTTTGTTGGGGGGAAGAAGCAGACTGGTTTTTAATTTTTTTAAAGCCATCTCAACAAACAGAAGCTGTCTGTTACTATTCAGAAAAACCTACCATGCAATGTTGGTAGCTGTAGTAACAAATAACTCTTGGCATTTCTGTTTTTCCTAAGATGCTGTTTCTGGCTACATCTATACTGCCGCCTCTTGGAAGACACAATCATCACCTTTGACTTTGACATTATTCACTTTAAACCACATGGTCAAAATAAAACACAGTGCTATCCCTTGCCTGGCACCTATAAAATAGCAAGAAGCAATTAATATTATGTTGGCTGCCTGCCTTCACCCTGTCTTGTCCTTCCTCTTCCCTTGGCCTGAAACCCCCCGCAAGCCTGGCACCCAATGCAGTCCCAGCCCAGTGCCTGCAGGGCAGACACTTGACTGAGCAGCAAGAGAAGCTTGGTCTATCTGAGCATCCACTCTGCAGAGCCAATCCCTTCTGCACTCCCCAAATGGAGAATGAGTTCTTTGGAAAGCCTGGCTGGAACCACCAGTGGGAAGCAAGGAGAACCATGAGCTGTGCTTCCCACCCAGGGTCATGGGTGTAATCAGCTGCCAATGCCTGGGGCTCAGACAGCGTCCAGGGAAGTAAGGCATGCTCTGAGTAGTCAGGCACACACCGCTGCCAAGTGACCAGCACAGCTGAACTATGGCCCTCAAATGCCTTAGAATTTATGGAAATACCAGACTTGCACATGGCTCCAAATATGCCCTCCTGTGCTTGGTCTGTATGGCCATTATTTTCCCCTGCTCTTTATTTTTTCCTCTATTTCTCTGTCAGGATTTTAATCAGGCAAGATGGTCTATTTTGGCCTGTTTATGCTCTGGTTTCCACAGCTCTGCCAGCTAGTTTGTTTCAAAGGCTTGAAGGCTTGGATTTCCACTGACCCTTTCTTGGAGTTTAGATGAGGAAGCACCCTCTGGCCTCAGTGAAGGGAACTCCAGAGATGGATGGGTTTTTAGCTGGTCGTACTGGGAGGGCTGGATTCTGCAGACTGTTCCCACATCACTGGCTAGTCAGCAAACCCCCATAACATGTTAATCCTTTACAGTCTGTAGTCTCTGTTGTAAACCCCCATGTGTCTCTCCTTAGCTCTGAAATACTCAGATGTCCATTCTTTGACCAAAGCAGACCCCGCTGACACGAGAGCTGCAGGCTCAGCAGAACTGGCAGGTCATGCACTAGAGAAAGCGAGAGGGGAGCAGGGATGGGTGGAGGTCACCACTGCAACAGATGAGCTCTCTTCTCCACAGCCAGGACCTCCATAAGAGAGGAAAGAGGACTGAGAGAGTATTAGAAAGAAAGATGCTCTCTGGTCATCGGACCCCAATGAACATCTCTCTCCCCCAGCTCCCACCCACCTGATGAAGGCATTAGTGACAGTACAGGCTACATGGGCTACAGCTAAATGGAGACTATCTACGATCTACAGCCGTATAGGGTCATTCTCCGCTCAGTGCACATTTTGGCAGAAAGATAGAACTGGTCATTCTCCTTTTCCCGCCCCGTCCACTAATTGCTAACATACTACTGCTATAAATCTTTTGTCAATCTGTTGATGGCCATGACTTTGCTCAGGCCCCAAAGACTGACATGCTTGTTGCCCTTAAGCAGCTCTGGATGTGCTCCTTTCTGCAAAACAGCACATCTCCCTTGCAGAGCTCCCAGGGCATCAAGCTAACCATGCTGAGAAGGCCTCTAGTTAGCCTGTAGTAAGCCCTCATCACAAAACTCCTGCGAGGAAGACTCACAGGTTTTGAAGCCCTTTAGTCTGGCTAAGCCATTCTGATGTGGACACGAGGTGATAATCACAGGGGAGGGACTCTGTTCAAAGGGCTGAGGACAAGGAGGACAATGGAGGACAAAGATGGAGCTAGTGCTACAATTGTGTCAGAACCCCTGGAGCTTCAACAGTGACCACACTTGCTCTTCCATTGGCAGATGTGGTGGGGAATGAGCAAATTCTCCTTTTCAAGAAGAAAAACCCTTTTGAAAAGGCACCTGATGATACAGTAAGGCCCCTGCTTTGTGACAGCCAGGTCTTGTGTCAGCCCATTAAAACATGATGTTGCAATGCAGACATGAAGATGTGGCATCATCCCAGAAGACACTTCAAGGCATTTTGAGTGCCTGGCTACAAAATTAAGAGGGTTGGAAAATTTACCAAAGGACAATTCAGTTGAGAGCTGAATCAGCTGGGGTTCCAACAGCCTTTTAGGAAACTGCCTCATCAAATTAAAGTCCCATTTGTTTAGTTGAATGGGCTGCTTCTGAATCTCTGGCCTGCCTGAAAACAAGATGTTTCTACAGCAGCTAACTAATGATAGCAATGCTTAGCAGCACTACAGTGCTCTTCATCTCAAAACATCTTCCTTTTAAATTAATGCTCAAAGCCCCACAGGGCAGGGAAGTGTTACTGAGGATTAAGAGAAATGGAAATTAGGAGAAGAGGAAGAAGGCTGTGAATCTGATCACTGAGGAGATGCTTATTTGAGAGCTGTGGACTACACCTCAGAACATCAACTCACAGGGAGGAAAGGTCTAACAAGAAAATTTTATGCCCAAGGTTTCTTTGAAGGTGAACAGCAAAGTAAAAGCACATGTTGAGATAAGCACCAGTATCTGTGCTGAAGTCCCACACTGGAGAAGCTGGTAGGGGCTTTCGGAAAGCAAATGAGGTCCAGAGTATTTAAACTCTACTTTCCCCCTCTGCAAAATCCTCTTGGTGTGTCCTGGGTCACTGGAAATATACCAGCATTTGGCACCACAAATTCCTGGAGACTCCTCACAGAAGTGATGTCACACCAGAATGTCCTTCAAGATGATCTCAGGAGACTGGGAAGCAGTAAAAAAATAACAGCTTCAAAGACAGAGGGGGAAGTGTTTTAAAGGATTGACTAAATCTGTGCAGGAAAGCCTTGGCAACTTGATTAGGAGGTGTATTTGTAATGGGAATCCTGGCCTTGCTTACTCACAGATTTTGCTTTATCATTTAGGTTAATGGGCTACTAATTCAAAACCAGCTGTAAACAGGACTGCCTACGAAAAAAATTAACACTGCCTGCCTGTGGAATTTAAGGATATATAATAAAAATAATCATAAAAACAAAGAGCCCTGAGTTTTCCATCAGACAAAAATATTTGTCATTGAAAATTCTGCTTAAAAAAAAGAACACCTAAAACTGGAAAACTCCTCCGAACCTTATATCCTAAACAGCCTCAGCAACTTTAATTTCATATCCCAGCACAAGTTTCATTTGCAATACGTATGATAATGGTGTTTAATTGGATTTATTTTTCCACACTAGGTTCCCAATGGCCTACTTTACTCCTTTTCTCAGCTCCTTGAATGTTATTTACAAATCACTCTCTGGGATTTAATTTTAATGGTAGCCTGATTTCTACCTCCCTCCTCATTTTTTTTAAGTACTTTTCTTTAATTGTATTTGTGGATTTGCCTTTTAAATAGGCAGTTGTGACTACATCCTGAACCTGAATAAGTTGCCAAGAGCAGAGCTTGATTTGAAAACAGCAGAGTGGTTAAATGGAACTGGTGTAACACCCAGCATTTATTGTTCTTTTCATGGCAGTACCTGCAGGTGCTTTGTTCAAGCAGGTGCTCTTTTGCAAAACAACATGGGTTCCTAATAACACTCTACCCCAAAGCTCTGTGCAGACATTAACAATTTAGGTCTCTGAGCATCCCATGAGTTGAGCACATCTTCATCATATGACGGTAAAACAAAGATACTGAGGAGCTCTAGGCCAAGATTTTTTAAGTGAATGCAGGGACTTGCTGTTTTACTGTTGATTTAGTTTCAAACACCACTTTCAAACGCTGTAGCCTGCTTTCTGGAAACGCCTGATCTCTGTGCTTTATCAGAATCTCAAGGTCACAACCAAGTCCCAAGTCTCATGTGGATGTTGGGGCAATGATGCCAGGACCTGAGGCATGACTGGGCAGCACAGAGACAACACCCAGACTCTGTTTTCTAGAGGGAAAAACACACAGACTCTGTTCTGCCTTAACACCTTCTTCCCTTGGAATAAAGCAGGCAGTAACACCTCACCATGCCTCTTTTACATCCTCTCTGCATCAAATGCAGGACTATGTGACTGGCAGACTTGGAGTAGTGTGACAAAAGATTGAGAAAACAATGTGTTTTCCTATGGATGCAGTTGCATCTAGTTGTGCAACTAGAATGAAAAAAACCTTCTGGCAGCATTTTGATTTTTAGTTTTTCACTTGCCCCTTCTACAGTCTCTGCAAAATTTTAGGTCTCCTTATGCTTTTGTTCCAAATCTGAACAAATGGGCAAAGACAGCTTAGGATGGAAATATATATTAGGTGTAGGTCTGCAGACAAATTGAACCTCACTGAAAACTGTCCAGACCTGCACGACAACACAATGTCAAGGCTCAGAGCTTGGCTAAAGGTTGGTTGTTGCTGTTCCATTGATTGTTTTTTTGAAAAGAGAGGGGGAAAGAGGAAGGATGAGGAAGGTGAGCAGAAAAGACAAAATGACATGTAAATGAAAAGGGAAAGCCCTTATTTCCCTGCATTTCTGAGCCATTTTGCCCATCCCTAACTCTGACCATTTGTCAGGATGACGGAGAATGACCCGGCTAAAGAGCTACTTCAACATAAAACATATACTGACCTGGAAAAGGATTGGGGAGTGTGGGTAAAACTCGTTCTAAGGGGGAAAAAAAACAATAAGCAACATGCAGGAGAAAAGGACAAGCCACTTTTCACACCAAGCAAGCAGCAGATACAAACCTGATGGAGTTGTCCATCTCCAAATTAGATGAACTAGAGTAGGTTTCATATACAAAGCATTTTGCTAGCAACATACCTAATACACATCAACAACCCCTGGGACTGGGAGTCAGAGAGAAGTCATTTGAAAAACTAAACAAATAACAGCCACACAGCAAGAGGGATTAAGCGTCTGCAGTGAAGGTAATTGGAGTTGATGGGCCATATCTTCCCTCTGACTTTCAAGACCACTCATGTCATCATCATTCTACAGTTCCTCTTAGCTACACCTCTTTCTGGAAGCTAGTCTTGGAAGAGAGTTGAGTTGTGGAAGTCCTCCATGGGTAGTTGCTGCCTCCCCAGAACCTTCTCCACAATGGATTTCTTCCCAGTGACAGGTCCCCTGAGGATCTGTGCATGGGAGCAATCACCGTGGAGAATCTTTCTTTAGAGTTCTGTTCCTCTGAGAGGAACAGAGTTTTTGCACTCATCATCTTCCAGTTGTACCCAGAGCCTGCTGTCCTGTTTAAAGGATTTTTACGTGGCCTCATTATACATCACAGCAGGACTTCGTTATTCGTCACTGCTGACTTCACAGTCTGCTTCTGCCATAAAAGGATCCCAAAAGAGTTTCACAGACACTGAGGGAAACCAGTATCAGAGACTTCAATATGAGGCTAACAGTAGTGTTAATTCTGCTTCACAGATGGTGCAGCTGATGCACAGAGCAAGGAAGCAATTTGCCCATGGTCAAATGCCGAACTGTTGGCAGAACCAGGCACAGAACCAAGATTACAAGGTCCCCAGGCTTGACTCTGATCGCTGGGTCTCCTTTCATTGCCTTCAGAACTTGCTGGATGCCTTGTACTAACTTAGACAAGTTCCTACTTATGGACTGATCCATAGGTAGACAGACATTTAGCTGCAACAGCTGGTAGGCCTGGGACAATGAGTGGTCTTCTGGCTTACCTGCTAAGATCACTGCTGATAGACATAGAGCTTGGCAGGATACACTAGTAGTCCACTATCATTCTCTGATCAACCCAGGCCCTGCTATTTGGAGGCTAATGCTATTTATATTGTATCCTTGGTGCAAAGAGCAAGTTTCTGCCTCATTGGAGCCAATAAGGACATAGCAGGTCAGGCCCATCCCTGTGACACTGGCAGAACTTCTGCCCTCGTGGTGGTAATGGAGTTGTTTGAATCCGCAGCAGGCATAGGGGAGATCAAATACGAGTCTAGCCTGGATCTCTGTGTTTATGTAGCAACAGGGGACTATTGTTCTGCGAAAGCAGGCTGTTGTGCTGACAAGACTTCCTTGTTATTTAGTTTGGTTAAATAACTCAACTCCCCTTTACCTTCTTCTTGCACAGCAGGCTACAGCCTGCACAGCATAAGCAGTTAAAGCAAAGCACTACGGCCTCATTATCATGCTGCTTTCTATTCAAGGACTCTACCTCTGTTCGTCTCACCCGCTGTGTGCTGCTTTTATTGCTCCACCCTGGCTCATTAGCAGTGTCTGAGCCTTGCCCTGTCTGACTGTCACCCCAAACCACTTTCCCCATCTTCTGAGCGTCCCCATTAGTGACAGCTGGGGTGAAGACACAGGGTTTGCACTAAGAAACTCTAAGAGGGATTTTGGCCACAGTTAACTCTCCAAACCCTCACAGCAACCACTGTAAGCAAATGATCAGGCTCAACAAAGTGTGGGCAGAGAGTTAGAAGGAGGGGTGTCAGCCCGTGCACACAGCCAGCACTTGTGCAAGACACTAATGAATAATGACAAGTTAGAGGCTGCTAGCTCACCTTAGGAACATGCCCCTCTGCAATCAAACCAGCTGAACTGCACCTGAAGCCTCTTGAGGAGGCAGGGGTGGGATCCCGCTTGCTGCTGCTTGTAGTTGGTACAAGCCTTGCCAGTGGCTGCTTCACTTCCATGTTTTCTAATTCCCCAAAGAGTGCAGAAGATACGGCACCTGCTGAGGTGGCAGTCTCCTATAACTGGGACAACTCAGCCAGCAGGACTGCATCAGGATGTGCAGCACTGACCTGCTGTCTCCTTTTTCATCCTATTGGAAGGGCTAGCTCTGCGGGAGGCACGAGTCACTAATTTGGAAAAGCTTTCATTTCTTTTCTCTGCTTTGCTAGAATGCACCAGGTGCTGCATTTGCTTCTGTGTGCCTGTGGTGGAGGTATGTGGGCTTGCTTATACATCACACAGGTGCATGCCTATATATACATACTCACCTACACATAAATGTATCTGTGTTCCTACAACAAATGTTTATCTGCTATATATTTATATATACATGTATATAAACATATACACTTCCGCTTAGCAAGGGTTAAGATACAAATGGTGACTTTTACTCACAATGCTTTTCATAGCACCCTGTTAGATGAGTAAAACAAAAAGAAACCATATTCCCTACCTCCTAATACACTTGAAGGTAAAACTTTTAACTTCAGTTGCTCAGTGATGGCAGCCTGGCTTCACCTCTCAGGTAACTACCTCTCGGTAATTACTTCTCAGGTAATTTTCACAGAGATGTGTGTTACTGCCCCTTTCCTAGGTCTCACCATATTTTGTGCTTGGGGGTCACAAACCCTGCCCCAAGGCTCTACAGAGCTGAATCAACCTACTGGCTCATCAATGCTGCAAAACATAGTCCTGCCTCCTAGCTCCTTACATCCATAAATGTGTGATACAACTTTCTCTCTTGCATGGGCTTTGGTGCTTGTTGAGCCTGTCCACGAACTAATTCAGCTCAGAACAACAAAAGAAAACATTTGGTGGTGTTTTTTGGAGGTGAGCAGTAAAGCTCAGTTACCTTTTCACTGATTCATCAGGTTGAAGTGGCTCAGTGGGTTGTCCACTGAGTAGCCGAATAAGTGAAACAGCAGAACCATGTGGCAGAGAGCAGAGTGAGTAAAAGGAGTGGGGAGGAAGGGATGTCAGCAAGCTATTAGCTTGGTTGTATCTTCAAATTGTACCTCAGTACCCGCTCTGCAAATGTATTCCATATTGCTGTTCAAGACAGGTTCCTGGGTAAGTTAAACCTTTGGTGTGGCCGTTTTTTTGTTATTGTAAATTCAGTTTCCAGAGTGAGGGGTATTAAATCTCTCCACCTACAGCAGGCAATCCTGCTGCTACATTCTTTAAGGAAGATCACTAGCTATCTATTCATACAGCTCAAGGGAGCTGCTTTTGTATTTTAATGCATCTTCTATCTATGACGTTGACATCTAAGGCACTCAGTCTCTCTGAGAGTTTTTCAGTGCTGGCTGAGATTTCATGAAATGGTAGTCACCCATTTTTCTCTATTGCTAAACTCTTCTTTCACATCACTTTGCTAGCTCCCTGTCTGCCCTCCACCTCAGGCAAAGCTGCCAGTACCTCATTATTAACTCTCTGGTTGTTTCTTCATTTCTTGCTGCCATTCTTCTTTGTGCTGCACTGGGACACTGAGGAACCATCGCTGTACTTACCTCCCTAGTGGGATGTTGCCCTACAGTGAGCTTGTTCTCTGTTTAAAAAGGAAATAAAATCTCTGATTCCAGGGATGAAAAACACTCCCAAGTATTTGAGTATCTGCTGTACTTTGCGAAAGCTGCTTTATTTTTCTGTCTGGGTGTGTGGCTGGGAGTGTGCATTACCTGTTATTTCAGCTACTGTGTGATCACCACAGCATTTTTTTCATCTGGGCTTGTAGTTTTTTTTCAGCTGTATTCTTTATCTTTATGAAGCTGGATTCCTTTCACTCATTTCCCCCCTTTACCTTCAAAATACCAGTTGTAGTCTGCCTGAATTTATGTTTTTCTCTCTCTGTCTTTTTTCCACTCTAAGTAGAAGAACAGATTTCCTGAAACATTATGAAGCAAGTGCACACTAAAGAAAGAGGGATTAACCAAGCAGCAAAAAAAAAAAAAAAAAAGTTAGAAAATCATCAAATCTCTCTCAGCTCCTGTACCTCTATTCACCTGGCTCTTGTGAAGTTCGCTAGTGTTCTCCAGCATAAATAGGCCTTGAATTTCTAAGGTAAAAAGGATAAACAGAATCCAACAACTTGAAAGAAGGCAAGTGTTCTTCATACACATCAAAAGGGGGATAAAATAGGATCCTTGCTGCTGCAAGTCATCTTTAATAGTTGCCACATTTCCTCCTGGAATAGTTAATGGCAACTTTGCAAGATTTCCTTGGGTCTCTTACAGGTTCTGCCACTCATTTTATGACCATGGGTAAACCACTTCTTCACTCTGTACCTTGGCTTCCTACTGCAAAACGGTGCTAATAACACTCAACCATTTCTAAATTACTTGTGATATTAAAATATTCATTGCTAGCAAATCCTTTGAGATCCTTTGAGGTGAAGTTCTGAAGTCACGCAAAATGCTTTTCTAGCAAAACTAACCCCCCAGCTAAAATCATATGTGCATACATACATTATTGAATTTCATCTTATATTTTGTTTCAGTGATGCATTTCAGTTCATCTGTGTAACAGGAACCAAGAGTGAGGGCCAAATTTAGAATTCAGTCACAAATAATGGATTCTAAACTTAGAATTATATTAATATCAGCAAGAACAAATCTGGAGTATTTGAAAATTGTGTTCCAGATTGCTGCCTGAGGATTTATTTGAATCTCATGACAGTCACAAGACCAGGGTGAAAAGACTTTCAAAGCAGAAATTTGCTTTGTGTGCTGCAGTGCTACAGGAAATCAAATATATGTTCTTTTATTATAATATCTGTTCTTTGGAAAATAACCTCCACAAAATACACCGAAATTTGCAAAAATTCAAACTGCCATGAAATGAATCCAAAGGTAGTAAACAGGGAATACAAATGGATTTATGCTTTTGCACTACCTCTGTTAAAAATAACCAAACCAAAACATTGGGGTTTTTTATAGTGATTTGATTAATCTGACCACACAGAGTAGAAACTAGACTAAGCTGCATCCCATACTGACTCCTTCACACAGCTTATCTTTCTTCTATTTAAAAGGACATGCAGGTCATGGCATGAGTGTTATAATTCAATTTGGGACCATGCAGGGAATACTGCCATAAGTCACTTTTGTGTCTACGTGTCCCTCGTGTGAGTGGGTCATTTTGCTGCAGTCTATCTCTAGTGGCAATAACAACATGTGGTCCAAGTCTAGGCCTGGAATAGGGAACTGCATTTTGAATACACCACAGTTTGTATGAGTTGTACATGTGGATAGTAGGTGAGAAGCAGGGCCTCTTTTTATGGTCAAGTTTGAATCAGCTGCAAAATTCAGAACTAGCAGATAATTCTGCTCTAGAATTTTTCTAGTCCCAGATTCTGTGTGTTTACACTTACTAAGACAAACTTAGTAATTGAAAAGGAGCAGAATGAGATCCAAGGAATCTTATTCCATATTTCATTTGTTGTTTACCTTTCCCCCCTTGTTCCCTATGGTATGCACCTTTAAAATCATTCTGTCTTTTTTCATTTCTTTCTCTTCCATTTCAAACCAATTTCTCTTTTTCTTGACTCTGTCTTGTTCTCCTCAGGCCCAGTGGCTAGTTCTCTCCATCTCTCTGAATTACTTGTCATTTCTCAGCTGTCATGGATCCTCCGAGCCCTGCCCTTCTGTCTATTTATTAAAAGGGCTGTCATTCTAAGGGTTTTTTTGTTTCCAGCTTTAAAACAAACATGCTTGTATTATTTTAACAAAATCTGGCTTCAACAAAGCCAGTCAATCAAAGGGCTTATCTGTAAACCTTTTAATTTGGCTGTGTGTGTGTTTCACGGCAAGTATGAACATGTAGGTATCTGAAGCAGAGCGCTGAAAGCCTCCATGGCTGGAGGTTTGAGAGGCTTGGATTGTCAAATGGATGCCTTCCTGAGTTTTGGTCACCATGTGCTTCCTACGCAGCTTGGTCTTTGTGAGAGCCTCCCTTTACCCTCTCCCATACTTACTGTAAAGGTATAGGCTGGCGTTTGTGACTCCCAGCTTGTTGGCAGCCACGCAGGTGTAGTTTCCGTAGTGTTCCTCAGTGACGTTGGCCACCATCAGCAGAGACTGGGTCCCCGTGCTCTTTATCTCCAGACCATTGGCGCTGCTTATCCTGGGAAGGCAGGAGAAGAGGTGTATAGTGCAATGCTATGGTAGCTGAGTATTGGGAAGGAAATCACTGCCCAGCAGGAAGTAAACCAAAGTCTTTCATCCCAGCTGGCAGGTGAGGATAGAGGGAGGCAGCAAGGAGATGTGAGAAGACAGAGATCTAAGAAGGCATGTATGGAAAACAGAAGGGAATGAAAGGAAGTAAGAGTGCAGTGGGGTGAAATGCCACCAGTAAGGCAGTGAAAAAGTGAAAAAAAACACCAAACAAACAACAAAACAAGGGGAAGGGAGGAAGCATTTTCCCAGTACAGACTCACACTGGAAATGAACACACCATGGCCAGCTGAAGGCTAGTCCATACTTGTACAAAAGATTTTTAGTGAAACACACCAATTCATGTGTTCCAATATGTGCATATGCCAAAGCTAAGTCACTCCTGATCCTGTAATGTCCTGTTAAAAACTAGGGTAATAACACAACCTTTTTAATGTCGGGTAAATGCTCAGGTATAAAGGACAGATCCCTTCTCTCTTCTCAGTTACTCTCATATGCAAATCTAAGAGGCTCAGGTTACACAGATGGGGGAATCACACCTCCCTCAGCAGCTCCTTCCCCTAGATGAAGGCACCTAGAATGGGATTACCTAAGTGGAGACTAACACTATCTACTTTTTTTGCCTGTAACATGGGCTACTTAATGCATGAACATCCTCCTAATTGTGTATTGGCCCATAAATGACTTACAGGGAAGACTCCCACCCTCTGTACTTCCTTCAGCATCCCCAGCACTGCGTCCTCCAGCCTTGACCGTGCTGGTTCTGCTGAGTCTGATGGGGCATTGTGACTCAAATGGATTGTAAGGAGTAATTTGTTTGAGAGGAAGAGTTGGGGAGGACAACAGGTGATTCTCTAAGGATCCTCTATTGATTAGACTGAAAAGAAGCAAAGAGGTGAGCTAAAGGTCTTACCTGGTATCATCTCTGTACCATTCGAAATCAGGTGTGGGCACGGCTGATGCCTCACACCGGAGCAAGGCTTGTCGTCCCGTGGCCGCTTCATTGCTCTTGGACTCTGTGATGGTGGGAGGGTCTGCAGGAGGAAAACGTGTGGTCACTTCACACACTTCCAGGTGGGACAAAAGAGCAAAACTATGACAGGGACGGCTTCCCCATGCAAACTGTTCAAGCGAGTGGAGACCCACACCTGCTGCTTGCCGTGGCACATGTTCCCCCCTGCTCCTCTGTGGAACACGTGCTCCTTGAACTCTCCCTAATATATCAGGTTAGCATCGCTCCTTACACGTGCTTCTCTTCAGCACTGCTGAATAAAATTCTGTCATAAATGCAAAGGCATACACAGGCAGAGTTAAGGTTAATGATGGACTTCTGTAATTTATGAATATTTACCTATGGATCTTTAGTTCACATGGGCTCATCAGAGAGAAGATGAGAGAAAGACTTCGTCAAGGGTAAAGGAAGACAGTAAAAGTAAAGGAATAAAGGAATTTAACACTGGCATGAAAATAATTTTCCATACACACTCTTTGTCTAATGCCAGAAGTATAATAAGCAAGGACTGAGGCAGCATATATGATACGGAAATAAGTTCACAGCTTAAAAGGGAAGAGCTTTAGGAGAAGCTGTGTGTGCAACTTTGAAAGACAGACAACTTTCCTTAGATGTCCAGTGTTAAAAATCCTGATCAAATGTTTCTGGACATTGTGCCTTATGACAAGCTTCAAGAAGGCTTGCTTGTGACTGTTCTGCATAAAACTTGCCCTCAGCCTAGCATGGCGTTCCCACCTCTGCTTAATTTGTAGCCAAGGGAAAACCAAACTTGGAAAACATATTGGTGTGACCTGCTTGAACTAGGTCTCAGTACTGGACTGGGTACCAGGTTGGGTAGGCACCAGCATCTTCAATCGCAGCCCCATGTTCAAAATATTAAGTGATAAAGCTTTACATGTTAAAAGGCAGAAATCTTTCCCCTTGGCTACTGAAAGGGATCAAGGAATAAGTGCCTTGTATCCCATCACTAATACTGGCACACCCTGAGTTTACGGGACTGCAGCTCAGACAGCTACTTTTCTGAGACTTGGGCTACCATAAAGCTCACTCTGCATGTGCAGAGTACAGCTCCGCCGTCTGTGTCCATATCAGCACTGAAAGGCCAAAGAAAAAGAAAGGCAAAATGGATTGTGCCAATCAAAGGAAAAAAAAAATCTGTCTGGAAAATGTATGGAAGGAAATTTGTTTGTGAACACATTAGCCATCTCAGTGTGATCCCTTTCCTGACCTTAATCGGGATTTTATGCAGGGCTTTAGGGATATTGCAGTGCGCCCTCTAACATCATAAATATTAATAAGTGTACATAAATAGGATCCTACATTCAAAGGCTGTGGGTTCACGCAAATATTTTAATTTGAAAAGGAGGAGGGGTAATAAAAGGATAGTGAAGGTGATTTTTTAACCATCCTCCTTTGATTTTTTGGTTCAAGAAGTATATCTTTTTGCCATCTACAGTGAGACAAGACTTCTCCATTTCACTGAACCTGGCACAAAAGGTGAGTTACAAAATGAACAGGCACTTTTCTATGAGCCTAGAAAAGGATCCCAGCAGGCATCTGCTCTCCAGCCTGCTGCCAGGGAGCCTTTGCTCTGAGCAGTCCCTATCTTCACCCCTTTAAAATGTTGCTGCAGTGCTCGCCCACGAGAAGGGGCAGGTGGGAGCCCCGAACAAACCAGCCTATTGCACTCAGAAAGCAGATGCTCTGTTTCCTGCCCAGGAAGCCAGGAGTGGGTTCCCTTTAGCTGTTTTCCTTCCACTCTTCTCCAGGCCTCAGTTTCCCTGTAGGTGATGTGCAAGGGCCATTACTCGGGAAGCCTGAAGGTGGTAGTGTGAGACCAAAGCAAAGAGAGGTATTCTCTTCCTGCGGTCTGAGCTGGCAAGCTAAGTGCTCCACAGCAGATGTTAAGAGATAGCCAGGAAGCACGTCAGGTTGGGCAGGTCCCATCTTTCAAACTTACTGTAGTTTTCCCACTTTCTGCTACTTGTGATGTTGTTTAAGGAAGCAGTATCAGGAAAGATGTATGCGAATGTCTAGCTTTCATTTCCCAAACAGGACTGATTTTTTCCTGCATGGTCCTCATGATCTCTTACATTTATTTCCCTTTCTTTCAAAGGAAAAGATCTGTCCTGATGGAATTTTAAGTTGCTTACATTATAAATTACACCACATATTAATATTACAATACTCTATCACATTATATTTTCATATATTCCAACAGTTAAAATGTTTAAGATTTTACTGTGGCATAGTTATTATGTGTTGAAACTAAGTCAAAATCAAACATTCTGACTTTATACAAACAATCTGTTTCAAACACATTAAAAGCATCGTTGAAATTATGTTCCACAGAAATATTTGAAAATATTAATTGGTTATCATGGAATGCCTCTGGTTTATAAATTCAGCTGTTTTTGATAAGAAAAAACCCTCGACACTTTCAGTGCAGAAAATCTGCTACTACAGTTCATATTTATGCCAAATTTGTCCCATGAAGCAGCTGGTATTAAACCATTGCCACCCAGTTTCTAAAGGAATTACAAAAAACTGTGGATTCGGAAGATGCTGCAGGGAGCCTATAACCTTGACTTCTAAGCAAGACAGAAAAGTTGATCTGATGTGATGGCCCAAAAGGAAAGAAAGAGACAAAGAGCAAGAATGGTATTAAAAAGTGCTATAATCACCTGTGGTGTCAAATTAAGACTGGGAAGGGCTGGAACACTTGCTGCCCTAACCCACTCCCTGACAGTTCTATCTGTGAATCAAGGCTGTGAATATGCACCCTGAAACATGCCTGTAATCATCTCAAATTGCAATTTAAGGTAATATTCTGGTGTATAAAGTGAAGAAGGTCAGGAGATGATCTATCTCCTATTCATCCATCCCTGCTGCAAAGTTTTTAGCCTCCAAGTAAGGAAATAGAGCAGGTAGATGCAGACATTCACTTTAAACCACTCCAGTGCCAAATATAAGCCATGCAAGTATGGAGGTGGACATATACGCCTAGGATTACACAACTAACATCAGTCTGAAATACCTTGTGTCACTGTGAGAGGAATAGGCCAGCAGAGTGAAGTGGACATCTCTCTAAGCATATATGGGCAATGGGGTCCGGGCCCCACTCACATGTGTGGATGTAAGCCACACAGCTAACTGTGCCTCTCAGTGCTTCTCGGTAGATTGTGGTATCCTTTGGTCAAGCCCCTTTCTGCATTGCATTGGTGCATGGAGGGTCTCTTAGAGCTTGAAACCAGCACAAAAGTAAAGTTTCTGCACCCTCTCGTTACCACGTGCCTCTACTGCATGTCCCCTGGGCTGTGATACCCGTGAAGGCACTGCTGAGATGGCTGGGTGCAGGGAGGCGTGTGTTTGCTCTCAGCCAGCTGAACCCTCCCTTATCTCTCCTTGCTGCCTTGCTGAAGCTTCTCTTCACGCTACTGTTCACCCGAATATCAATGAGTGAAAACAAGGCATTGCCAGTGCTTCTGAGGGGAGAGACAGGGGCAACTCACAGCTCCTCTCTCTCTCCCTCTCTCTTTCTCTCTATCCCCCAGGCCCCCCTTTCCTTATATATTACCAGGTTTAAAGCACAAACTATACCCTGTGGCAAGTGCGTGCAGATACTTTTCTCAGCACCCTCCCTTTCAGATTGTATAATATAAACCCAGAAACGCTTCTCTGTTTATCCTGAAGTGACCCCTGCCTGTGGGCAAAGTTCTCCCCGTTGACCTGTTCCAGCTGCGATGTACTCACAGTTCACAGTGACTCGGACTTGCTTGACGTCCGCTGAGGCAACCTCGTTGGCAGCTTTGCATTCGTACTTGCCCGACTGCTCTCGTGTGATGCCTAGGATCTCCAGATACTCTTCCTCACCTTCGAACTCTCTGCCTGGTAGGACAGAAAAATACAGAGGATGGTTCTGTTAGGTTTTCAGGTTTGGGAAACCTCCTGCTTAATTGCTGTGGAGGAGCAACCACAATAGGGATTCTGCAAATAAGCAACATTCTTGAGTGACTTAAAAGTTATTTCAAAAGCCATATCATCAAGATAATAGCTTGGTTTTTTTTTTTAGTTATGGAAAATAAAAAATCTGGAAGGAAGCATACAAGTGGTGCCAACACATCACATCTCGCAGACTGCCCTGATCAAGAAGCAAAATTTCCACTACTTGAGATCAGAGTCAGTTCACTAGTGTGATGGCTGAACACCAGGAGAGGTTAGTCAGGCTGTGGCTTATTGCTACTTCAAGCAGGGCTAGCTCAGACGTGGTGGTGTTTTGTCAGCACCCTTTTCTCCACTGCAAAACTGTGAAAAATGTCCTTCTGTCTCTCAGAGCAACTACCACCCTGAAGTGCCATCGATCAGATCAAGATACTGTTAAACACAGCCCAACTGAGAGAAACAAAGTGTAATTTGATCCATAGAGACCAATAATCATCATGCATCCCTGATCTACTGTACATATGAAATGGACATATTTAAACTGTGCTGCCTTACTAACACACTTGTGAAAACAGCAGCTCGAGTGTCAGTCGGGGTTATGAACGGCGGGCAGGAATCGGGAGAGGTCTGTGGCCTTGCTTTTAATTCACTGTACGACCTTGAGTGAGTCAGTCCTTCTCTCTCCCTCTGTGAACTGCAGCAAATAGCCCCCACTCTCTCATCACCTCCTGGTCAGAGAAGGGCGGTGAGGTTAACCCATGTAAAACACATTAGATTCGTTGGATGAAAGTTGCCAGGGAAGCATGAAATATTAGGATTGTTATATCTACTCTATTCCTTCCAAAAACGAAGTAAGGCTCCTCTTGGAAAGAATCTGAACTACATTCCTTCATCTGAGAGGGCTTTGGGCACTGCTGTACAGCATGTGAAAGCACCAGCCCCTGTATGTCAAGAGAAACATCCCCCAACCCTCACAGGGTAAAGATTAGATTAAAAAAAAAAAAAAAAAAAGGCGCCACGTCAGAAGGGCTCACGTTCAGGTTCCTCAGAGAGCAGATTTTTCCAAACCAGGTCTCTGATCAGAAGACGTTTTCTGCTCAACAGGTGCCAAGCCACTTCTGAAACCCTTCCTACTTCACTAAGTGCCTAAAGTTGTTTGATGGAGTTCAAAGTGCGAGGATGGGGTTGTTCCCCTTGGCTTATAGCACTGTGTGAAAAGCAGTGGGTAAGCTCTGTCTTTGGAGCTGAAATTCCCAGGGAGCCACCTGTAATGGATCCCACCACAGAGGCACAGACTTGCTGCAGTGTGCTGGCCAGGTCAGGCTGGCCACACACACTGGCAATGCCAGCTACATGCATTTCCTTCCTGCGTCAGAGAAGGACTTTAGAAACTTCAAAATCTGCTCAGAAATCTGTCCTTTACACAATTATTTTTGTCTTTTTTTTTTTTTTTTTCCTTTCCCAGGCAATTTTCAGAATCATTCTAGGGGAAAACCACCCCCCGTCATGGAGACTCAACATGAAAACAGCAGTGTACCTATTAAACTCATATAGCGACAAGGTTTCCCCTCTCTTTCAGCAGGGCTAACCAGCAGTCCCTTTTTCCAGCTCCTGCCAGATGTTCAGGTGAGTGGAAATCTCATTGCTATGTCTACAACTTACAACTGCTTTGGCTTTGGCATCCCCTAATAGCCTGCTGAAGGGCCTTCCTGTAGGGGAGCAGCATATTGTACGAGGGAGGAGGCAAAATTGGCTCCTTTTGGGCACCCAGTGCTCTGGGACATGGCTTTCAGTCTTCTGCTGTGAACTGGGGCAGATGCTGTGGGGAGTCAGTGGAGAAGGAAGCAAGGGGGGATTTTCACTGCTGTTTTTTATTGCTGTAGCTCACGAATATGTTACGGAACCCTCTAGGACAAAAGTTAGGTGAGTCACAACACTGTGGAAAGGACTTCCATCACCACCTAACCCGTTCCCCAACCTCAAGGCAGGACACATGGGTCATGTCAGGGACACAGCCATCCTCTGCCCTCCAGCGGCAGCCACTCCTGATGATCTGCTCCTGTGCTTTGCTGTCCTTACCACTGGAGCAGTTTCCCTGAAGTTTGACCTGAGTCTCCCTTGCTGCAATTTAAAGCTATTATTTTTGTCTTAGCCACTACAGACAAAAGGAACAAATCATTCCCTCCTTCCCTGCAATAGCCTTTTATCAACTTTTAAATCACTTATGTTCCTCCCTCAGTTGTCATCTTTTTTTTTTTTTCTTTTTTTTGCTGAACATTGCCAGGGTCTTTCAACCTTCCTTTGTAGGTGAGGTTTTTTTTAGACTCTTGATCATTCTTGTTCTTTGCTTTTAGACCTCTCTGACAGGTTCACATTCTTCTGGCAATGCAATACTCCAAACCCAACACAGCATTTCAGATTAGGTGTTACCAGGGCTGAACACAGATGATGGACTGCGTCACAACTTCTGCCCTGTGCTGCTGTCTGTATAGCCAACGTGTTGTTTGTGTTTTTGCTATTGCATGAATCATTTCTGTTTGGGAACCCTTTTAATTCCCAGATCCTCTTATGACATATTGTTACCTGCCTATAAAGCACTTTTAAAATCCCACCCCCAATTTAAACTGACAACCAACGCTCCCCTCCTTTCACAGCAGCACTCCCAGTTGGTAGGTTAGTCAGTTGACTGGAAAGTTAATCAGACATCAGGGAAAGACTCAGAAAGAAAAGGTTAAAACGTAATTTGCCTCTGTTTTGCAAATCATTTGCTCTGCCATTCTGCCTTGTTTATACACAGGGTTCATTCCAAGTGGGACTGGCTTCTCCTGCAATTTGCCCTTGTCACAAGACTGTCACCATAATGAAAACAGGGTTGAGGGTGACTTAACCAGCTCTAATGGAGTGGCACGCTCATTAAGGGTGCTGTTCAGTTTGTCTGTCAGAGAACCACATCAATGGAGCACCAAAGTGTCCTAAAAGGGTACATACTTTCTCAATGGAAGATGGTTTTTAGCTTCTCCCCTGCATGCACACACACATGTACCGTGTACCCTGTCCAGCAGGAGAGCATTCACAGCTACACAAAACCCCTCTCAAGACATGATGAGCTGCTGGTTTGCCCAGTGGAGTTCTCTAGAGATAAGTGAAAGGCAGGACTTCTGTTTTAAAGGGCATGCCAAAGACATCAATAACCCTACTCAACTCCTCGTTCCCCTGCTCCAGGACACAGATACAAGCACAATACTTGGGAGAAAGTTTCTGTGACAGTCTCTTGCTGAAACAGTGGTAGCACTGTTCTTATCCCTGCACTGGTGACCCTGGGCATCAACATTTTGCTACAAGAGCTCAGCTGCTCTCACTTGCAAGACAGACCCTTTTGCTTGCTGCCTTGTCCCCTCTTAAGAGGACATTAACAATTTCTAACAAAAAGCATTTATATAAAATCGAGGTGTCATAGTAAAGATCAGGGAGAGGAGAGATGTATCACAGTGTGTTAGAGAAATGTCAGGTTGTGATATCTTGCAGAGAGCTGTAGAGATGTTTTCACTAATTCACTTTGGCAGCCAGATTAGGTGAGTCATATTAACTCTAACCTCTAAGGCAAACAGGGGGTGGTGGGAGCAGGAACAGAGCTTTATACATCGAGTGCATTTACAAATGTTTCTGCACAGGAGCCAGCTTTGGCAGCGAACTTATGGTTGTCACTATGCAGTTTATCAAAGCAGGGAGGGAGAAGGCTTGGACAATGCTTTTTGGTACTGATGACAATGAACGTGTTCTATAAGGTGAACAGAGGGACTGCCAGCTTCTGGCAAGCAAGCCACTCCATTCCCATTAAGAGAAGACATTTGCCTTGAGCATGTTTTCAAGGGATGAAATTCTGACCCTTCTGCCAGAGCTTCCTCACTGACAAGGGCTGTCTCCTGGCTGTTCTGCCTGGTTCAGTACAGCCCTTTCCCAGTGAGGGGCCTTTCAGGTTTCCCTAAGGGGATGACTACTCACACAGTGCAGCTCTTCTCATCCCAAATCATCCCCTCCTGTGACTTTAGGCAACTGCTTCCCTGCAGGTTTTTTTGCCTTTCACACGTTCATAGTTATCTCAGTTCACTGTTGCAGCCCCATTAAACACCATCTTGCCAAGCTGTAGCTCCTTAACTCTGTCCCAGTAAATCAGAAAGAGGAGCTTTCTGCTCTGGAGGCTGGAGATAGAGAGAGTACAAGCCTGGGAGGCTTGACAATCAAACCAACAGGGAACGACCCCGAGCAGCACAAGCCAGGCAGCGGCTGCTGCTGCTCGGAGCTGGCAGAGCCCTTTTTGCAGAGGGATCTGCGGCAGAAGGCTTTGATGTGTGCAGGAGGAAGGCTTTGAAGGCCCGCTTGCCTCAGCCACATTTCCCATCCCCTGGCTTCCTAATTGGACCCAGTAAATAATGAACCTGAAGAGCAAATCTGCTCAGCTATGCTAGCCTGCTGGCAAGCAGGTCCCCTCTCCCCCTGCCCTCTGGAAACAGCCTTATGCAACCCCATCGGCTCTGCATATTGTCCTTGTTGGTGCGCACACCTGCCCATGCTCTTGTGTGTGTGAGTGTGTGTATAAATGTATATATACCTAAAATCATATTATGTGTTTTATATACTATGCATTTTATTTTTATATCTATAAATCTCACTGTGTGTGCAGAAACACAGACTGACATGCTCCCCACATACTTATGGGCCCTTCTGATCTCTGCCCAAATGACCCCTTGCACCACCACACATCATCACTCTTTCCTTTCTAGGGATGACATGCACCCAGAGGATAAAACCCACTTGTACTGTGTACAGACAGCTCTTTCAGGTAGCCAGGGGGCCAGCAATGCATTCAGTCGTGCTCTACCAGAGAGCCCTTTCCCTTCATGCCCTGGTTCTTTACATTTCCAAAGGGAAGCTAATTTGCAGAGGTG